CAAAAATCCTCCAAACCAACGCATGCCGGGCCCTGACAAGTAATCTCAATAGTTACAAGAAGCACGAACCGTCATTGGAAGCTGATGCGTGGGAAATACGATGTATCGGAATGGGTGCTCATCGAACAATTCAATCAATTTCGTATTGATCGCCAACATTCTGGACAATGCCACGCGAGATTCTTCGGTAATTCGAGACTCTTCCTCGATTGCTACATTACGAATCGAGAAAGCATCTACTGCATGCTCTAAAAGAGGCTGGTGACATTTTTGAGCATAAGAAAGTTACTGGTTTGAAAAACGAACCAACACCATACTTATTCTTAACAGGAAACTGGCAAGACTTTAGAATAATTTCTTGGAGAGAAGTAGACAGCTGATTTCTTGCTTCAAAATGTGAGTCTTTGAAGGGCACCTATAACAGTCTTTGGAATAGATCGAAAACCACGAACCTTGTCCGGACACTGCCTTCAAAGGAGAGGGATTATAGAGAAGTAATCTGGGCAATAGAGTGGGGAATAGATTCAGGAGCTTACCTGTACCAAAGGATGGATACCCAAATCTCTGCAACACTTGACCCACCATACGCGATGATTGTAGAGTCGAGAAATTTCCTCATCACAAAATATTCTGATGTAGCTGCGAAATACAGAAGCCCAAACCTGTACTGCAAGGATACGAAAAAACTATAACGCTTCTTTCAGGCTTACATTGGCTTCATCAATCTCAAGTATCTCATTGAACTTTGCATTAACGGAGTGCATAACTGGTGTAACAAGGTCATACTGGAAGGATGCTATTGGTACTAAGTGTTGACCCTGCGAGCACACGGTCTTTATCGTTTCCAAGATCATTTTAGCCATTTCCGTGGGAGATACCAGATAAGCAATCAACCGCACTGCAAATTATGTAAAGATATCTCCCTCTAGTGAAGAAAGACATGGACTGCTAACATGGACTTTGCTTTCGTTCCGATTTGAGTTGCTCAAGAGAATTTCGTAGGGTTGCAAGCCATCCCCAAGAATCAATGAGCTCTTCTGCACATTTCTTTGCAGATGGTCCTTCCTCAGACTGCACATAGTTTTCAGCATATAGCCAGGAGACTCGTTCTATACCGATATGCTCACGAAACTTCTTCATGTAAGATTCCTGGAAGTGATACTGCTAGGGTACTTGCTGGATATATGAGAACAGCAGAAACAAAATTGAGATAATGCACTAATGTAAAGGTTTAGGAGAGATTCATCGCCTGCAAAAAAGGGTGTCGCTACTGACGCTGTCAGCGTCTAGCTGATCGAGTGCTCTTTCACCCCTCTTGACGTGTGCTGTCTCCATGCACGAA